AGTCATTCTACATCTCTTTTGTAAATTATTTATTTTTATTTTTTGGTTAAGTAAAATAATATATTCATATGTATTTATTTTATTATAGTTTATTCACTTTGTATCCCAGCTCTAGCCCCCTCCCACATGCTCACCCACTTTCTCCCTCCCTCCCTCATCTCCTCCCATGCCCCTCCCCTAGTCCATCGATAGGGGAGGTCCTCCTCCCTTTCCCTTTGACCCTAGGAAATTATTTATTAAAGTGGCATGTATATTTGTACCCATTATTTGAAGCCCCTTGCCCCACTCCTTAAGAGAGTAAATATTGCCCATAGCACATAGATTAGAAGCACACGATGAAGCTAAATAAGATTTTTAGGAGAAATTCTAAAGGAGGAAAAAGCTAACAAATTTTTGTTTCTAGGCAAACCAGCAGTTTCAAGCATCCATGACTGACTGTATATAATCTCTTGATTTTATATCATGCTAAAAACTGGACATTAACAATGTCCTATTACATGGATTACATGAAAAGTGTAACAGGAAGTGTGGATTTCTTTTAATCACATCACTTAGTGATGACAGACAGCCCTGAAACTCGGGGAATCCCCAACACTATTGGCTGGGTGGCTTTCTCTAGGAACTTCATACTCTGCTTGAGTTTGCCTGTGAGTAGAGCAGTGAAACAAAGTTCCATGCAGACTTGCTTCTCCACAGCCACAGGCTGCTTCTTCACAGACAAAATCTTTCTACGGAGAACTGCAGGCAGCCTCCACATGAGTCGAGAAGAGAGCCATTTCCGTTGAAGATGGCCAAGAACACGCCTATCTTCTTAAATGTCCATACTGACAAGCCTTGGCTGTTTAAAAAATATATTTGGTGATAAATGCTTTGTGTATGAATGTGGTGTGAGAACATTCATGTTTACTGAGTCTCCACAGGTAGCTGTGTGTGTGTTTGTGTGTGCATGTATAAGCAAGAGGTTGACATAAGGTGTCTTCCTTGATCACTCTCTGTCTTCACTACCGAACTGAAGTCTTTCGCCAAACCTGAGCCCCTTCATTCCACTGGGTTAGTCTAGATAGCTAGCTTGACCCCCAGGGGTCTCTTTTCTCCACTTTCAGAGCACAAAGGCGACAGGCAGACAATTGCTTTGCTTTATCCATTTAGTCATCTTCCTAATACAGAGCAGACAATATTGCCCCTCTTACGACATGCCTCATTCAGCTATTTTCTTCTCCTAAAAATATGCCAGGCCAGTTGATTCTTATAATACACATGTACGATCAGTCACATTTCACATGGAAGGAACTTAAGGTCAAATTATTTGATGAAAATTATAATTTGTAAGCAGTCAAGTCTAACCTCTTTCCTGACCTCAAACCCAAATATTTTTCTATCCTGTTTTTACTCATCTCTAATTTTTATTTTGTATTAGGGATAGGCTGAATATATTCACATATGTATAGACATATGCCAAAAATAAACTATTAAAATTTTTAAATGTTTTTAATTTTTTTTGGTTTTTTTAAAATTTTTTAATTTATTACAATTTATTCACTTTGTATCCCAGCTATAGCCCCCTCTCTCATCCTCTCCCATCCCACACTCCCACTGTCTTTCCCTCCCATGACCCTCCTCCAGTCCACTGATAGGGGAGGTCCTCCTCCCTTTTCATCTGACCCTAGCCTATTAGGTCTCACCCAGCTGGCTGCACTGTCTTCCTCTGTGGCCCTCAGGAGGAGGTGATCGAAGAGCCAGCCACTGAGTTCATATCAAAGACAGCCCCTGTTCCCCTTACTAGGGTGCCCACATGGACACTGAGCTGCCATGGGATACATCTGTGCAGGGGTTCTAGGTTATCTCTATGAATAGTCCTTGGCTGGAGTATCAGTCTCAGAGAAGACCCCTGGGCCCAGGTTTCTTGGTTCTTTTACTCTCCTTGTAGAGCTCCTGTCCCCTCCAGGTCTTTCTATCTCCCCCTTCTTTCATAAGATTCCCTGCACTCTGCCTAAAGTTTGGCATTGAGTCTCAGCATCTGCTTTGATACCATGCTGGATAGAGTCTTTCAAAGGCCCTCTGTGGTAGGCTCCTGTACTGTTCCCAGTTTTCTCCCTCTCCCAATGTCTATCCCGTTTGCCTTTCTGAATAAAAACTGAGCACCTTACCCAGGGTCCTCCTTATTGCTTAGCTTCTTTAGGTGTACAGATTTTAGAATGTTCATCCTATATGTCTAATATCCACTTATAAGTGGATATACCATGTGTGTCTTTCTGCTTCCGGGATATCTCACTCAGGATGATCTTTTCTAGTTCCCACCATTTACCTGCAAATTTCATGGTTTCCTTGTTTTTAATAGCTGAGTAGTATTCCATTGTGTAAATGTACCACAATTTCTGTATCCACTCCTCAGTAGAGGGACATCTGGGTTGTTTCCAGGTTCCAGCTATTACAGATAAAGCTGCTACAAACATGGTTGAGCAAATGTCCTTATTGTGTACTTGAGCATATTTTGGATAAATGCCTAGGAGTGGTATAGCTGGATCTTGAGGTAGCACTATTCCTAATTGTCTGAGAAAGCGCCAGGTTGATTTCCAGAGTGGTTGTACAAGTTTACATTCCCACCAGCAGTGGAGAAGGGTTCCCCTTTCTCGACATCCTCTCTAGCATGTGTTGTCACTTGAGTTTTTGATCTTAGCCATTCTGATGGGTGTAAAGTAAAATCTCAGGGTTGTTTTGATTTGCATCTCCCTGATGACTAAGGACACTGAGCATTTCTTTAAGTGTTTCTCTGCATTCTACATTCCTCTACAGAGAATTCTGTTTAGCTCTGTACCCCATTTTTTAATTGGATTACTTGATTTGTTGCTTTTTAACTTCTTGAGTTCTTTATGTATTCTGGATATTAGCCCTCTGTCAGATATAGGGTCGGTGAAGATCCTTTCCCAGCCTGTAGGCTGTCGTTTTGTCCTGATGACAGTGTCCTTTGCTTTACAAAAGCTTTTCTGTTTCATGAGGTCCTATTTATTGATTGTTGATCTTAGAGCCTATGCTGTTGGTGTTCTATAGAGCAACAGTAACAAAAACTGCATGGTACTGACATAGAAACAAACTAGGTGAATTAATGGAATCAAATAGAAGACCCGAAATAAACCCACATACCTATGGACACCTGATCTTTGACAAAGATGCCAAAACCATAAGATGGCAAAAAGATTCAACAAATGGCTGTGGTCTAACTGGATAACTACACGTAGAAAAATGCAAACAGTTCCATGCTTATCACCCTACACAAAACTAAAGTCCAAGAGGATCAAAGATAGCAACATAAAACCAGACACACTAAACCTGTTAGAAGAAAAAGTGAGGAAGAGCTTTGAACTCATTGGCATAAGAGACAACTTCCTGAACAGAACTTTTTTTATTCTTTGAGAATTTAACAATGTATTTTGATCACATTCACCTGCCCCATGTAACTCCTCTTAGATCCACCCCCTTTCATCCTCAGGATTCTTTTGAGCAAAACCAACTCCAGTATGTGTTGCCCATATATTAATGGGTGTTGGTTTGGGCCAGCCACTGGATCTGAGTCAACCTACCAGTGTCAACACTCTTAAAGGGAACTCACTCTCCCCAGCAGCCACCAACTGTCCAAAATTCCTCCATTAGTGGAAGTATGCCTGCCCCATTTCTGACCTTCTTCTGACCAGGATAAAAGCAGTGAGACTACCATTTCCTGTACAGGGCAACAGCACGGAGTGTGAGCATACTGCAGGGTAAACATGGGCCAATGAACCTTCTGCCATCTTGTAGGAATTTTAGGAAAATAGGTGCCAGCTGAAGGGATTATGGAGGTTTGAAGCTACCAACATAATATTCTTACCAAAAGATTACCTGAAAGCAAGACACAGCAAAAGGAACCTGTTTCGTGTAAGCTACTTCTGTAGAGTACTGATGTAGTTTTTCATTTGCTTGTTTGGTTTTACACTGAGTACTGAGTGCCATCCATATACTACCTGTGAAATCTGGGTATGTGGTAACATATATATTTGCCTCAATTCTAAAATGACTGATCAGCAATGACTGATAAAGTAGCAGCTACTCAGGAAAAAGCTCTGTGGGAAATAAACAAGCCAAAGGACACCAAAGTAGGAACTACCATCTCAGGCATTTAAAAAAATATGGCCTCCCCTTTTAATTCCTTTTCTACAACAACAATAAAGCAGCTATCATTTGAGTGCCTGTGGCTCTAAGCATGGTTTTGTATCAGTTCAGTTTTGTAGAGAGACAATGGAGACTCAGAAGTTTCTTAGCTTATTGAGACACACAGACTGTGGCAGAAACAGGGTGTGAATCGTTAGATCATGGGACCATAAGACCCAGCGTTCTCCACACTTTTAATTGCTGTCAAGATTTCCCCTTGCCCCATGTCAAAAGACCTTCCCATGCTCTTTTTCTGCTGTTCTGTAGAAGAGCTCATAGTGCTGAATAAAGGACTAGTAAGTACAGACCCAAGACCAAGTATCTTCACTGTGAATGCTTTATGGTGGGAGCTTAGCAGCCTTATCTGCTTATGGCTTGTAGGCTGTGTGTGTGTGTGCGCGCGTGTGTGTCTGCTCCACTTTTTCAATTATTCCATGAAACTCATAATTAGCTATAATACCAGCTGCTTATCAAGTACTTACAATGTTCTGGGCACTTGACGGAGCATTAACCTCAGTATTTCACTTACTTATACTCACTTTAAAGACCACAGAAGACCATTATGAGCTGAGAAAGCCACAGTCCACAGACAGAAGAAGCCATATGAGGGCAGCGCGTGTAGGGTGATTCTCTACCCTCTCGAGCTATCTCAGTAAGAGAATACTCTTGATTGAGTCTTTAAAATGGACATTAATGTGAGAAGGGTATGTATTGTGGAGCTGAGAAAAGGGGTTTTACAGGTGCTCTCTGTAATGTGAAGACTTTAGAAGTAAAGTCTTTACTTCACATTATTGCTACAGTGCACATTTCTCTTCCAGGTGTCCTTACCAATCAGCGACACCAGCTGAGAACGTGAAATGAAGAGGATGAGCAGGAAATACAGGGTCAGCCAGGAAACAGGCCTGTGTTTACAACTCAACTTACTCCTCCCTGTCTGTACCTTCTCTTTATTGACATGTGAAATATGGGTTGTTGCAATAGCTGTTCAGGCAGAAAATATTAATCAGAATTATCTGATAAGATTTGTGAGTTAGCACAAATTCACATGCTTCAATTAAAACTACTAAACAAAATAAAGGTGAATGATTACGTAAAAACCTTCCAGGTGCCTTTCCTACTGCACATTTCCAAAACATACAGTATCATTCAAATAAAGAGTCTTGATATGTTTTAAATTTTTATTAGTAAGAATTCTGAGTACAAATAAATTTAACTTGACATTTAGAAAAAACTGATTTGTTCTCTAAGTTCTATACATTTTAACATCCAATTTTAATACTAAACATCATAATGCTTTTAAGCTTTTAACTTAATTTAATTTTAATAATTCTTTTTTCATTGGGTTAAATAGATTTTCAGGTAGAAAAAAGGCATAAATCTAATTAAAGTAATGAATAAAAATATTTCTGAAAAAAATTAAAAAACCTTAAAATTAGAATACTTCAGTAGAAAACTTACAGCCACAAATTAACATTACATAATGTTTTATCAAGAACTGTATCACAAATAACATGTTTACATATATTACAATGATTTGCACTATAGTAAGTGCTTATTCACAGAAGATCTAAAATCCTCTTTGGGAAAACTTTTCAATGTTATTTAGCACTTTGAGGAGAGTCTGTTCCCAAAAAATGACAAAAAAAAAAAAACAAAACACCCCAATCCAGATGCCAGGCAGTACAGCTGTGAATGCGGACCTAACCACGTAAGGCTATCATGTATCAGCAAGCAATGTTCATGCGTCAGCATTTAGAAGAACCCAGATCCCATGGAAACTCTTTCCCCAGTCAGTATATGTGCCTCACGTAAGACCCACATCATGAACAAATGGTCACGCTGCTCAGGTCGCTCATGCTACATAGAGTGTTTCTCCTTGGCTGACAGATTACTGTTCCAAAAGACCAGGTCTATTCAGCAGATGCCTCTGCAACTGTCCTTAACTAAGTGGAAAAAAGCCTGTGCCTTTCAACAGGAAACTATTTAGAGTCTACACAGCAGGGCTGGAGCCCCAATTCTGAAAACTTCTACGTGGCGTTGCTGCAACACCAGTCCTGTCAACCCAAGAGTATCTCTCACACTGCTGTCTCCCGGGTTTGAGCACAAGTTCAAATCTTAAAAATACGCATTAGAATTTCCAACATAATTGAGTTGAAAATCATTCTGTGTTGACCTGGCATTTCTTTTACTTCCTGTACCTGGTACGGAATCTTCCACCTGGTCAGCAGAATACAGAGTGTACCGGCGAGGAGAGGGACTAAGAGCAACAATGTCTCCTGGGACCCACTGGGTCCCGCCTGAGTGGCCAGCAGAGCAGAGTGAGTGACTTCAGGACTGTAACTCCTCAGGAGTAGTAAACACCCCAGTCTACACCTCAAATACCCCAAATACCGGGGGGTATTTCCAGACAGAAAGAAAGTCCCAACATCACCACTGACACTCAGGAGTGGCTTGGCTTTGTCACCTCAGACAAGGGCACAGCTCCTAAGTCCCATTGCTGTCACCTGATGTCTTCCCTCCTACTGGTGACCCTTAATTTCCATTTAGCCATCAGTGGGAAAATAATACTTAGGCTCAGTGAGATCTGACCAAAAATAGAGGTAAAAGTAAGAAATGAGGAAGATTCTAGTGAAGCAAAACTTCCCATAGGGCCAGCTCAGTGAAACCTAGCTGTAACAACAGGAGAAAAAGCAAGCAATAACTCTCTTTTTGGTTCATTTCAAAACAAAAAAAGCATTCTTAGCAACATGGCTATGTAGTCTGGCACTACTTGTTTAATTGTGCCATATTTAGTCACTAAATATTATTCCCTAATAAGGCTATTTTACCATTGAAAGTTTAAATGTTTATAATAAATACTGTATTAAAATATTTTAATATTTACAATTGAAAAAAATATATATACTCTGTGTCTGCAGTCAGTCATCTGAGTGTAACCTCTTCAATGTCCTCGTCAACAGAGTCAACAGCCGTGACTGTTGGCTTATTACTTGGGTGCTTCAAGCGGTGTCTATTTGGATTAAAACTTCTTCCTTCACTGAGGAAAAAGTCCTCATCGTCATCATCAAGTTCCCGAACTCTGCTGCTTTTCTCTCCAGAGAGGAAGCGAAGAGGGTCCAAGTCACCTCTGCTGACAGCTGGAAAATGTGGGTCATTGCTCTTGGAGGAAACAGTGGTATTGCTGGGGCTGGCACTGGCGCTGGCGCTGGCACTGGTGCCAAACAGCTGCTCCATCAGGTTCGCTTTTTTCTCTTTTCTTGAAATTAAGTCTACACTGTCTTTACTCAGGCTTTCCAAACTGTTGTTTTGGAAATCTACAAGGTTACCTTTTGGGCCAAATAGATTCGACTTCCCTGATGTTTTTGCAAATGAAGGCACATAGCTACCAAATGCAAACTTATCTAGAAGGCCTGGACTTCGAACCCGTCCTGGACTCCGGCCTGGACTCCGGCCTTCTCCTCTCGGACTTAAAAAACTCATGTCTGGCATATTATGTCCATTAAATGATCTGTCTGAGGACTCGAAGAACATGTTTGGTTTGGGGCTTCTGTCTGGAGAATGCAGTTTTGAATCGAAGTTAGGTAGCAACGGCAAAGAGGTCTGGCTGAGGGTCAAAGGATCTTGGAGTTCTTTGTTGATTTCGTTCAGCTTGGCAAGAAGCATTTCTGTCTTTAGTCTTTCTGCCTCATCAAGTTTATCAAAATTCTCAGTTTGGTAGGATTCCTTTTGGAACCTTCCAGCTTCCAACTCTGGCTTCTCTGCTCTTCCTAGCAAAGATGTCTTACCTTTCAATGGATCAAGTTCTTCTCTTTCCCACTCTGCATAAAATGAAATTTTGAAAAGGAATTTTATAGCAATAAGTATTTGTAAATGGAAAACTCAGCTACCATCTTTTGTAAAAGAAAATCTTTTCATTTACATTTGACATTTGAAGAAAGGTATAATGGAAATAGAAATATTTTATTTCTACACTTGACGCTCTGGATTAGAAAATAACATGAATTGCACTTGAGTCACGCAGCACACTTTTTTCTTCAGTGTATCAGTAGGAAGGTTCTCTATGCGATACTGTACAATTCATGATGTGTGTTGAGGTGGACAGAACAAGGTACTTAAGCATAAATCCTTGGCTGACCTGAGAAAGGAACCCTTACACAGAACTCAAACAGCAAGTATGCTGACTCAACTCAAGAGAAATTCTCAGTTAAATCTAAAATGAAGAGCATTCCATTTTTTAAAAAGGTATGTACTCATCAAAAATATTAATTTCACAGACTAAAGGCCATAAGCAAAATTACTCCAGAGTAAAAAAAAAATGTCCTTAGAGGTGAGAATTAAACAGAATTTATGATCACGCTTTGAGGGAAGAAAATGCTTCTACAATCTCATGTTTACCAACAAAACCACAAGATGGACAACAGACCAGCTAAATGCATCAGAGTTAAAGCTCCTGAACTGTGCAAACTGTGATGGGGAAATATGAGAGAAGGTCTGAGCTTGGAGGAAAAACACAAACACGCCAGATCTTACGGGTACAGATGTAAGGTGCAGAATTCATTTGCAAAGGTTTTGTTGTTTGTGTTTTGGGTTTTGTTTTGGTTTGGTTTTTTTGGCCATTCTTGGCAGTTCTCTTTAATTTTGAAGTCATTTTCAAGTGAAAGAATTAAAACTCTTAAAATACAATTTTAGTACATGGCATATATTCTGATATCATGCTGATATTAGATCATCCTATAAAAAATAGGGGTGGGGAAACAGCCTAAAGGACCAGGCCACTGGGTTTCTGTTATTTTATTCCTTTCTTGTTCCCTAAAATGAACTGACCATAACAGTTTCCCATTCTATGGTTTAACACGTGAAAGCATCTTGCTTGGCCTCTGGCCAACAGTGATACAAATATCATTTCCCATCCAACATGCATATTAACAACTTCAAGCAATGATTAGACCACAATCTTCTGTTCCAGGAATTTCAGCTCAAAACCAACAAACTCAAAAGGCTTCTCTGTATGCAATTACCATGAGCTAATGGCATATAGAAGTCAGTCTGGGACTCCAGTGCCCACACCCCTAGCCTGTCCTATCAAGATAGAATCAAACTGCATTTCCATCTAAACTATGCAATCTGTTTCTATGAACTTATAAACAATGCTATTAAAGATTTGCAATTTAAAATCAAACAAAAATTACAGGAATACTCAGGGCATTGTACACCACTAATCTTTGTGTTTCAACTAATCCAAGACCAAAACAACAAAGGCCTCTCTCGGTTATTTCTCAGGATTTAGTTTCTACACAGGAATAGTGTTCCTCTTTGATTAAGCACTGTTTCATCCAAATTCTCCAGAGTTCATTTATTCATAATTCCCAAGCCCCAGGAGCAACTTTCAGACTTCCTTTTCTTTTGAAACGTCACTCCGTTGTTCTGACTCCCTGTTCCCCACCCTCCGCTGCTGCCTTAGCCTCTTCTTGTCCCCTGCAGCCACCTCCCAGGTAGCGAGTTGTCACTGCTCACACAAACTCTTACCACTCTCCAGCTTCCCGCCCTCCTGCTTTTCAGAGCTCGTGTCCTGATCGTCACTGCTCTTTTCTTCCTTTTTCAAACTGGAATTTCGAATCTCCGCTCCAGGCTCATTTTGCTCTTGATATTCCAAGTACTATCATGCATGTCAAAAATGCGAATTCATATAGAAAGAGGGAAAACAGTCTTTAAACATGGTAGATCATCCATTAAGTGTGATCACCAACTAAGAAATTAATCTAATCTTCATTTAATAAACCAACAAATCACAACTAACCATGTTTTGAAAGATACTTAAAAAGAGAAAGGATTATTTAATTGAGCTAAAATTTTAAAGAAATATATATTAGAACCAATCAATAGAATGAAAATAAAACCAACAGCCAATGTATAAATTGTGAAGAGGTAAGCTGTAAAAGTAGCTTTGGTTTGTGTATTTTTACAACAAAGTCTGATTAATCCAGCTAACCAGAAATGGCTATTAACCAGCTGTGGTAGCCAACTGGGATGATGCTGAATTACAGAACATAGGCACTGACAGTCACATTGAATCTTTCAAATCTACACTATGTGTAACCTCTCTAATTAATTATGCAGCATTTAACTCAAGTAATGTTATAAACTTATTCATTAACCCCCCTGAGGCTCAATCTTCATTGCCAGCTTAGAATCAGTTGCCTAGGAGATACACACCTGAGTATATCCAGACAAACTGAACTGAGGAGGAAGGCCCAAGCTGAATGTGTGGGTGCAGCCTACTGGCTGGGGACTAAAAGAGGAAAGGGACAGGGCCATCTGAGTGGCCACACTCATCTCTGCTTCCTGACTAGATGTAATGTCACCAGCTGTCTCACATCCTCCACTATGATGGAGGACATCTCCTCAAGTCAAGAGCCAGAAGGAGCCCTTTCTTCCTTGGGTTGCAACTTATGAAATATTTGGTCATAGATACAAGAAGGTAACTAGCACACCTCCCCAGAGGATACAGGTCCAGTGAGAGAGCAGTAGGACGTATGTGTGGAACTTCCAACCACATCTGTGAAAACAGCTTTCCAGGAGCTGGACTCTAGTCTGCATTAAACTCACCGAAGAAAGATATTCTGGTCCGTCCCATTTGTTCTCATAACACAGAACTGTTTGTGGTGTTATAGGAAAGTCTTCCAGCTCAAAGTCTTCACTGGTCTGTACTCCTTTTGTACACAGATCTGTGAAGTCACTCTGGCATGATACTACCAAGAAAAACCATAACAAAGCTTTCTAACCCCACTGAACAATGTTGACATATATTCAACTGGCAATACTCATCTAAAGGAGAGCCCACACTTTGTTCATGAACGATCAACTCAAGTTATATGATTTGATGGCAATTATACTATAAATGCTAATCATCTTTTGCAAAGTTAATACTTTAAAGATTCTGTAACTCATAGGAGAATTATGCTTTTGTTTAAGAAAAGTAAAACTGCACAAAAATACAAAGTATAAGTGAAGTGAAATAATATCTGGGATTTGCTTTCAAATACACTAGAAAGTAGAAGTGGATTGAAATAGCAGCAGTAAAGAGTACAACTGTTAAAGCTAGGAACTTAATACTTGGGAATAATTATGTATTTTATGTTTTTAAAATTACAATAAGGTTTTTAATCTTTTATTAAAATTAAGTTTATTTAATGATAACATAAAAGCTGTATATTAACATCCTTTGTGATGCTTCAATACAAGAACATACAGAAGTTTTTAAAAGGCTGTGTAAAACATATCTTTTCAATTGTATAAATCTTTTTTTAATTTATGTGTTTGGTTGTCTGTGTGTCTGTGTGCATGTATGTCTGGGTGCTCAAGGAGTCCAGACTCCCCTGGAACTGAAGTTTCAGTCACTGTGAGGCACCTTGCATGGATACACTGGGAGAACAGCAAGCACTCTTAACCCCCAAGCCATCTTTCCAGCCCCTCAATGTTGTTTTAATGACCTATCCTTAAGAAAAACAAAAGCTGAAAGACTTAGGTTACTAGTAAAGCTGACTTATAAGAAAAAAGATTAAATATATTCTGAGGACCCTCTTCCCCTTCATTCCCTTTACTCTAGAACCCACTGACTAGTAACAGCTCCAGTTTTAGTTTCAGCAATAATCCTACTATACCATTTTTTCTTGAAATAGCTTCTTTTTCTTTTTTTGGAGAGGACTTCGGCAGACGATTAGAGTATATATTTTTTATATCCAGTTCTCTCTCCTTTTCCTGAAAAACCCAATACAAGGAAGGAAGATAATCAGTTTAAGACTCAACGAACCCTCAATGTGTTGACCAATATGTTCTATATCAAACTGAAATATCTCAGTGTCAGCTTTCCACTGTAAATATCAAACTGGAGAAAGAACTATCTCACAGGAGACAAAAGGGAAGGTGAGAGGGAAAAGAAGGAGGCAGGAGGGAATGGGAAAGAAGGAGACGGGAGGAGGAGGAGGGATGCAAATACCACAAGGTCTACCCCCTGCCCACAAAGAGCTAGGAATGCCTCTCTGTCATTCAGGCTTACCAACGGAGACAAAGGTAGCCTCTCTTAAGTATGGGTTTTGAGTTATTGCTGACTTAAAAGTTAGATCATGCTTTTCAACCCAAGAGATCTTCACAATATGGGAATAATGCTTTTTCTCACAACTTGGTGATCACAGAGAAAACTATACAAGATAATGCATAATTCTGTAGAATTCTGAACAAAATTTCAGCCTCTGCATGACCTCCATAAAATGAAAACATCTTTAACACAATTAACTAAGGTGAATTGCGTTTCCTCTAAACAGAATGCACTTTAAAAGCAAGCCCTCCTGGGGTCATGCGAAGAGTACTGGACCATTCAAGAGTGTGGCGACACACTCTTGCCCATGGTTCTGATCTACTCTAACTTGTTTCCTTTGCATTGTTCCTATTGGCATATACAGTACTTCGTCAGAGCAATTATATTAGCAATGCTGTCCTTTCTGAGTAACATATAATAGCAGAATTTTGTAGATTGCATGGTAGAGTGACTGATTTTTTTTTAAGTACTAGGTTTTGCTGTGGTTTATGTGACAGAAGAAACAATGCAGTCTAAGAGGACATGCTTACCTTTAGCTTGTGACCGAGCCGCTGTACCTCCTTCTGGAGAAGTTTATTTTCATCATGAGCCTCAAATGCCCTTTTCCTTTCAGCAAGCAACTGCCGCTGGAAACTGTTAGTGCTCAGCTCCAGGTTTTTCGATAGCTCCTTTGTGTGACAACAGCAAAACCAAGAGTAAAATGCAGGACTTACTTGTAGCACTGACAAAACTTACAGACCAGGCTAAGCTCAGTATCAGGAACCAGGCTCACTAACAACTAAGAACACCTCACTTGGTGATCCCTCCTTGCTTTTCCTGATGGTGGGTGATCAACCCTTACACATCTGCCTGCAGCATAGTCTCCTGAGGGAGCAGAAGACACAAATGCTGAAGCAGGGGCCTCCAGAAATCCCTGCAGGCTGGGAAGCAAATACCACGGTAGATAATAGCAAGCAACACAGATGCATAACGGGCACTGGAACACTCGCTCAGGAAACTAGCTGTTCCCGTGGTCTCTGAACATGTCTCATCAAGGTTATGAAGAATTCAGATTAAAATACTGTATTTTAAAATAAGATGTTTTTGGCCTACCATCTAGATGAAAATAAAAAGTCTTATAAGCAAAATATAAAATCACATATGAAAAAGGAAGTTAAAAAGCAGTTTTAATCTCACTGCTCAGCAACCACCCTTGCCAACATCTCACAGAGCACAACCTGAGACTTCTATGTGGGTTTTTTCCCTCACTATCATAAAAACCTAAAGTCACAGATTTTAGTACCACAATCCTTTAAAATAGAACCACATTCCACTTTGTAAATCAGCGTAATTTATTTAACCAGATTCTGCTGTCCCAGTTTTTCTGTGCTTCCAGTTTTTCCCATGGTGAATATCCCAGAATAAATAACTTCAAACATAAATTATTTCCCCAGGGCAATGTTAAAAAATGAAGTTTCCTAGATCTAACTGAAATTAAGAGATTCTGTCTTTGAAAGAAACAAAGTAATTAAAAAGCCACTTTGGGGCAAACAACTTATCTGATTTATAATCAACATATCAACATGCACGATATATATATATATATATATATATATATATATATATATATACACACATGTATATGTATGTGTATTCAGTAATAAGAAACCAAACAGCTCAGTGAAAAGTAGAGAAAATATTTAACAGGTAATTTACCAAAGAAGACAGAGACAAATAAGTACCAAACATGAGGCTCCAGAACTGTTAGCTGTGGAGAAAATGGAAACTAAAGCACAATGAAGAAATATCACCTATCTGTTAGAATGCCTAAAATAGGAAGCTCAAGTGACAATGCCTCACAGGGATGAACAGCTATCAATATTCAATGCCCTGAGCGGGAATGCACAGTGTGCAACGGAACCTGGGTTTTCGAGGCAAAAGTAAGGCGCTCTGGGAGCCCCAACCAGATGGCATGGCTCGGTGACTTTCCTCAATGTGTCAACTAAGGAGTTAGTGATGAAAAGCAGAGAAAAACAGTTTATTCAACGTGACTACACTAGGAAGAACACCTGGCCAAGTAGACATCACGGAACCCCAGACTGATCTACATGACATAATATCACCCAATCAATATCCCGCTAAGAATAGATGAACTTGGTTTGATGACAATGATATATCAGAGAAATGCAAAATTAAGGATGCTCTAACCTGAGCTTGGTGATTTATGCCTATGATCGCAGATATGGGGAGGCTGAAGTAGCAGGAGCCTGAACTGGAAGGCAGCCTGGGTTACATGGTAAGAGGCTCCCCAAAAATCCAGCTCGTAACAACAACAAGTACATGATACTAAGTTAAAACATTGTATAGAAGACCCACACAGATCAGCACCATATTTACTGCAGGCTGGATCCTGTCCTGTAGGAGGCTAGTACTAAAAAAACACTGAGTCAACAGGAAAAAACCCACTAGGGACAGTGGAATAAAAGGAATTGTTATATATGTAAATCACAATACTGATATATTTAGGGTCAAGGGGCATGATATATGTAATTTCTCCTCAGAAAGTTAATCTATGTGTCTGCACGTGACACAGATTGAACATGGAATCCTATGACTGCATAATATAAACCAAACATGTTAAATGTTTACAATAGGTAAGTTGGTAAAGTATTTAGTATTCATTGTAGCACTTTAGATTTGCAACTCTATTTAAGCTTAAAATATTTCTATAAAATAGGTAGCAAAAAAACAACAACAACAAAAACAAACAAACAAACAAAAAATCCTATATCTCTTGAATATTTTGAGGCAAATTAGGACATCATTAATCTAAAGAGAGAAAACATACCACAGGCAAAATTGGATAAAATATGCTCAAGTTCCAAATGACAGTGCTGAACAGCAAGAACCGAAGTTAGACCTGTGAAAATGAACACTCAGAATAGAGACAAAATATTTTCAGAAAAGATGAAAATATTTGCAAGTCAAAAGTCCTTACTAAAAGAAAATGTTTCAGTAGGAAAGAATATGAATCCTGAAGGAAGGAATCAATACTGAGCAATAGTGATAAGCACAGAACAATGCCAAACCTAGCAACTCTCAGGAGTCACCTTAAAATGAGGCCTACTGTCTGAAGTTGTATACTCAAGATTTTGGAAGCTCTGCATACCTCAATTTCTCTGACTCCACAGACATTGCCAGAGATTGACAAACATTTAGGCCAAGGATAACAGAAGAAACCATTTCAAAAAACAAAACAAAACAACCAAAAACCTCCAAATTCTACCTCACAAATGTCCCAAGAACTGGTAACCTCCCCTCACAGATGCACAGATCTACTTACTTAAGTGGAAAGTTCAAGCCTCAGCAAAGGAGAAGTGCAAAGCCAAAGCATCAGGGAAGCTGCAGCCAGAACTCTGGGGCAAACACAGAGAGCGACTGTGCTGAAGATGAGATGGAGCTTCCAGGTGAGACAACAGCAGGCCAGGGCACATGGGATCAACCAGGGCCCATGTAACGATGCTCAGAAATTTCTTGTCTGTTGATCAGGACATCGATTCCACTGACCACAATACTGATAAGCTATAGGACATGCTCAAGAAGCCAAACCTGAGAATCCATGGCTAGAAAGGGCTGAAATACAAACTACAGATGCAGAAAACATAGTCACTGAAATTACAGTTTGAAAATGTTCTCCACATCAAGGGGGAATAATAGACATCTAAGTACAAGAGGCATTAAGAATTCCAAATAGACATTTTCAGGCACATAGGTACCATGCCAACAAAGAACATCAGACCTCCCTGTAGAAAGCCCAAATATCCCCAGAACATGGACTGTTACACACCCGCTTATTAAGATTATTATACAGATCAACGTTCTCCTTTAATATAAAGGAGATGCTTTCCAAGATAAGCACAAACTAAAACAATTCATGACTACTAAACCAGTATTACAGGAAATATTTTACAATAGATATAGATGAAAAGTGTGAGAATAAGAAAGGAATCAGGGATATTTAACTCAGTATTTGGCAAATTCCTACAATAAATAAAGAAGAGAGAAAAGAACAAAAAGTACACAAATAAACCACAGGGCAAAAAGCCAACAAAATTACAGGAATAGCAAATTATTCTCAATATTGATCCTGAACCTAAGTAAGTGGTTGTTAACTCTCCAATTAAAAACTGCAATCTCGTTTACAAGATGACAAAGTCCAACTTCACTGGCAAAGATACACACATTGAAGCAGAAAGGCTGGAAAGGGACTTACCAAGCACACAAACGCTGTAAACAAGCAGGAACAGGTGGCATGATATATGATAAAACAGACTTCAAACCAGAATTAGAGATGATGAAGAAGAGCATATCCAAAAACAAAAGGAAGCATTCATCAAGAGGATGCAATGGTTTTAAATATATATGTACCACACACTGTTACACTCAAATTCTTAAACACATAATACAGGTACAGATAAAACAATGGAGATCTCAACATGCCAACTCTTACAGGTAAACATGCCATCAAGACAAGGAAAAACTTTAAAGTTAAGATGGATCATAGGGAACAGACCTAAGAGACATGTTTGGAATACACGTAACAACTATGAATACTTTCTTCTCACAGCTCATGGAGCAGGCTCCAAAACAGAGCAATTTCAAGCCATAAAATAAATATTATCAAATATCAGAAATTGAACTATTTTCTAATAAAATTATAAATCAATAAACCACAGAGGAAAGAAAGTGTGGAAATAGGCGGAAGGGACTGGAGGGAGACGGTAGAAGGTAGACATATCAGGAGGCACTGCATACATGAATGAAACTTTCAAAGAGTAATTTAAAAACACATCTAAAGGGGAAAAAAAAGACATGCAGATACATGCAGACTGAGTAGGAAACTGCTGAACAATCAAGGAGTGATTGAAGAAATCAGGGGGGAAATGCTTAGAAGCAAATGAAAGTGAAAACACAACTTACCAAGTAGTTCTACGAGGAATGTTTACTGCGATATATGCCTACATTTAAAGAACCAGAGAGATCTCAAATAAATAACCTACCGATGTACATCAAGGCCTCAGAAAAACAAGAGCAATCCAAACCACACATTAGTAGATGGGAAAAAAAACAGTAAAGATCAGAGAAAAAAAGAAACGAACACAAGAAAACAATAGTAGCCAGGTGGTAGTGGTGCACGCCTTTAATACCAGCACCTGGGAGGCAGAGGCAAGTGAATCTCTGAGTTCAGGGCCACCCTGATCTACAGATCAAGACCCTAGACAGCAAGGGCTACACACACACAAACACACGTCTCAAAAACAAAACAAAACAAAACAAAAAAAAACAAAAGAGAATATTAAAGAAACAAAGCATACAGTAAAGCAAAGTTAACTGTCTGAAAAGATAAACATTATCAATAATATGAAAAAAATAAACAGTTCAATGTCTAGACTCCTAAGATCTACCAGAATTAAATTAAAATGATACAAACAATGTAAACAGATCCAGAAGAAACAGTAAGGTTGAAGCAATAATGAAGTATCTCCAAATAAAGACAAGCCAGTGTTGATGGAGTCACTGCTAAGCCTAGTAACTTTCCCATTTCCTGTAACAACACACTTGACAAAAACAACTTAACAAGGGAGTGCTTAAACTCACAAAAGAGCCACGTGCTGCCTGAGTGAACTGT